CGGGCGGGAGGGGAGGGGGTCATGTTTTCACACCTCTCCCTTTCGCTGAGTCTGGAAATGGTGAGTGTCCCTGGAAGCCGAGGCCTCTGGGCCCTGCCTCCACAGAATCACGGGAGATTAGAACACAAGGGAAGCCAATGTTGGATCAGGTCAATGGCCCAGCCAGTCCATCACTCTGTGTCACACAGTGGCCAAAAATACCGGGGGCCATCAGGAGGTCCAACTGTGGGGCCAGGGGGACACCAGGAGCCCTCCCACTGTTGCCCCTCCCCCCAGGCACCAAGAATACAGAGCATCTCTTGTCCCAGACTGAGAGTTCCTGTCTGTACCTCGTGGCTAATAGCCACTGATGGACCTCTGCTCCATATGTTTATCCATAAGAACATAAGAGAAGCCAATGTTGGATCAGGCCAGTGTCCCACCTAGTCCAACACTCTGTCACACAGTGGCCAAAAATACCAGGTGCCATCAGGAGGCCCACAGATAGAGTGTTCCATCCATACCTGGTGGCTAAGAGCCACTGATGGACTTCTGCTCCATATGTTCATCCAGTCCCCTCTTGAAGCTTTCTATGCTTACTGGAGATTTTGGGGGTGGTACCAGAGGAGGGTGGAGTCTGGGGACGGGAAAGAGCTCAGCAGTGATGTAAAGCCCATCCTCCAAAGTGGCATCACTGCCCCAGACATGAGACCTCTGGGGGATCTGGTCTCTGCAGGGGTCGTTTCCTGCAGGGGTGCACAGGAGCAGAGCTCCAGCAGTAAAGAGCCCAGGGGGCGGGCACGTGCAACAAGCCCCGCCCCCTGCTCCCAGCAGCCCTCAGTCAGAGCAAGAAGCAGCCAGGTAAGCTGCAGAGCTCCCCTTCCGGCCCGCCTTCAGGTACAAGCTCTCCCTCCTCTGTGAGGGCAGATCTGCACGTTCTCCCCCCCCCCCCCAAAAACCAATCCAAAAGAGTCCAGTGGCGCCTGAGCAGTGGGTGTTGCTTTCTGACACACTTCCGGTGATGTCAGGGTGTGTGGCATATGCAAATAAGTCATGCTAATAAGCTATGCTAATGAGCTCCTGCGCCTCTTTTCCTACGAAATGACCCCTGGATCTTTGTAGTCTGGAGATCCATTGTAATTCCTGGAGGCCTCCAGGCCCCACCTGGAGGTTGGCACCCCCACCCACTTCACAGAAGCGAGACTGCTCTAGAGGGTTAGAACGGGGGTGGGGGTGGGGGAAGGGACTAGGCCAGGGAAAGGCGTGTCAGTGTGGAGAGGTGAGGACTGAAACCCCAGGGTTCCAAACCAGTGGAGGGGATTATTTTTTATTTACTTACATATTTAAAAATGTTTAATGGCTACTTCCCCCTCCCCCTTATGGAGCTCACGGCAGCTTACAACGTAGATAACATGCATGAAATAAAATAAATTTTAAAACACACGAGTACCAGAATTTAAAACCATAATTAGAGACTCTTGGTAAGGTTAACCAAATGCAGCGTAGTCTTAAATGAAACCACCCATTGCCGCCCAAAGAGGGAGAGTGAGGGTGCCGGGGGCACCTCCCTGGGGAGGCTATTCCATAACCGTGGGGCTGCCACCGAAAAGACCCTCTCTGGTGCGCCCGCCCGGTGAGCTTCTTTGGCTGATGGGACTATCGGGAGGGCCCCTCCCTGTGCTCTGGATCCCCAGGCAGGAACGTATGAGGGAAGACGGTCCCCAGCAATGCTCCCTCTAAGCTTTGGAGTCTTGGGAGCCAAAATTCTACTTTGTGAGCCACGGGCATTAAAGTTGTGAGCGAGCGATTTGGCTACAGCATCAATGAGTTTGCTCTGGAGCCCTCCTTCCTGAGCCGAGGCCAAAATGTGTTAGCCGGAGGCCAAAAAACTGAGCTAGCTCACACTCACTCAGCTGGGAACACTGGTCCCAAGCTGTGTAGCAGAAGGAGCTGGGGAGGGCTTTGAACGAGCGCTCCTGGGTTCGAGTCTCCAACCTCGGAGGAGAGCTGGAGCTGGTGGTTTGGAGGTGAAGGCAAGAGCACCAGGAGAGGCCAGGAGCCAGTGTGGAGGGGGCATGGGGGGACGCGTGCGGAAGTGCTGGGTTTCTTTGTGAGGAGGGCCCAAATCGAAATCCCCGATGGGCCCTGAAGCTCGCTGGGGGGCTGGACTCCACACAGTCCACCTGTCGTGAGGACACCTGTCAGTACTGTTTGCCCACCAGGTGCCATGCGGCAGTGATGGTGTGACGGACTCCGGGATTCTTTAAGCTCCCCCCCCCCAAACTGAGGTGACCTGATGCTTGAGAGCGATGAACACAGTTCGGCATGTTCAGGTGTTGTAAGAACACCTGCCTAAATATCAGATAGAATATCTATCTGAAGCAGTGGGCTTGTGACTCATGAGAGCTCCTCTTGAGTCAAACGTTCAGTCTTTTTTAGGTACTGTCATGACCAGTGTTCCCTCTAAGCTGAGTTAGTGTGAGCTAGCTCACAGTATTTTAGCCTCCGGCTCACACATTTTTGTCTTAGCTTCGGCATGTTCAGGTGTTGTTAGAACACCTGCCTGAATATCAGATAGAATATCTGTCTGAAGCAGTGGGCTTGTGACTCATGAAAGCTCCTCTTGAGACAAACGTTCAGTCTTTTTTAGGTACCGTCATGACCTCCTGGGGGTCGCCACCTCCAGCCGCCACCACTCTGGACTTTGGGTCCCTTGAGAAGGCCCAGAGTACCCTCCCAAGCCCATCCCCAAATGCCCCCTTTTAAGCCATGAACTATAGGCAAGATGACCAGGCAGAGAACACTTAAACAAATGGTTTATTAACACAGTACTGGGGCAAGGGAAACAAGACAAGGTGCTTTAAATATATATAACAGTGATTAAAGGCCAAATAAGCAAATCTAACGCAACTACCTAGTTCACTTAACTGGTTACTGCTTCAAGGCCCACAGCCTGCCAGGCCTCCTGACTGTACTCACTGTCCCAAGTGATGGATCTTTCTCTCAGACCAGTCCCCCTCAGTTTAGCTCTGTGCGGGGCCAGACCGCAGAAGAGCAAAGAACACAGTTTTTGGGTTCGAACAGCTTAAGTCAGAATCTCCTCACACAATCTCTGGAAACTGATTGGCTACAACCCTCACTATGCGTTATGGGGATTGTAGGCTGTCTGCTTTCTACTCCCACACAGGTCCCGAGAGGCCTAGTCCTGCACAGATCATGACAGGTACCCACTGGACTTTGTTTTTATGTTGCTAGGATGAGGCAGGGTAGCGTCGATTCTGGAGTGCTTAATGCAAATTGTGGGAGGGAGGTGGGTCTGAAATCCCCAGCTGGGCTATGAAGCTTACTGGGTGACCCTTGGGAAGGCGCCCTCTCTCTCTCCCCCCTACCTCATTATTCTGAGAATAAAATGCGCGGGGGTGGTGGTGAGGAAGCAAACACATTGTGCCATTCTATCAGGACGTGTGGATATTGTGCATTCCTCTAGAGCAGAGGTCCCCAAAGTGGTGCCAGTGGGTGCCATGGCACCCACCAACATCCTTCCTGGTGCCCGCCAAGTGGTTTTAGAAAGTGGGCGAGGCCAGGTGGCGTTGTGGCCCAGCAGGGCTTCTGATTGCCCCGTAGAAATTCGATTGGCTGCGCAGATTACAACAATGTCATTTTAGCAGCCGCCGCCATCACAGGGTTGGTTTTAATTCTCTCTCGCCATTCTTTCCCGGTATATTTAAAGAAATTGCTCCCCTCGTCCCCTACACAACAGCTTCTTCTGTGCGTGCCTTCTGTGGTGGCCGTTAAGTAGTTGCTCCGCCTCCCGTGGTGGCCATTTTGTAGTTGCTCCTTCCTCCCATGGTGGCCATTTTGTAGTAGCTCCTCCTCTTGAGGTGGCCATTTTGAGGTTGCTCCTCCCCCCGTGGTGGCCATTTTGTAGTTGCTCCTCCTCTTGAGGTGGCCATTTTGATGTTGCTCCTCCTCTTGAGGTGGCCATTTTGAAGTCGCTCCTCCCCATACGGTGGCCATTTTGAAGTCGCTCCTCCTCCCACGGTGGCCATTTTGTAGTTGCTCCTCCTCTTGAGGTGGCCATTTTGATGTTGCTCCTCCTCTTGAGGTGGCCATTTTGAAGTCGCTCCTCCTCCCACGGTGGCCATTTTGTAGTTGCTCCTCCCCACACGGTGGCCATTTTGAAGTTGCTCCTCCTCTTGAGGTGGCCATTTTGTAGTTGCTCCTCCTCCCATGGTGGCCATGTTGAAGTTGCTCCTCCTCCCGTGGCCCCTTTTTGTAGTTGCTTCTTTTATTGTGGCAGCCATTTTATGGCTGTGCCCAGCACCCTCTTTCAGAACACCACAGGTTCCACACTGTTGGGGATCCCTGACCTCGAGACTGAGTCGTGGCCCTCGTCTTTCGCCCCTCCCTGACAAACTGCCCTTTCCCCCCTTGCAGTTCCTGCTCCACTACTTGCTGTCCCTGAAGCACTGGATGAACCGGCACAGCTGGGATCGGACCCCGGTGGCCGTGGCGGCCTGGGCCCTCCTGCGGGATAGCTACCACCGGCCCCTGTGCCTGCAACACGCCCCGCAGCACATCGGTCAGAACACCACAGGCTCCACACTGTTGGGGATCCCTGACCTTGAGACTGAGTCGTGGCCCCCGTCTTTCGCCCCTCCCTGACAAACTGCTCTTTCCCCCCTTGCAGTTCCTGCTCCACTACAGGCAGGCGGCCGGCCCCGGACTCTCGGGCCTCGATCCTTCTTTAGCCGAGGCCAGGTTGGAGTAGTCACCTTGGAGCACGTCCGTGTGGAAGTGTCCCGCTTCCTTAACGTGCCGCTTTTGTGCTGAGCCGGGGAAGTTGGAAGTGCCGCGTCCCCATGATGCGTGGTGTTGCTCAGCACTGGCCCTGCCTGCCACGCAGGGCCAGGTGAGGGAAGCAGCACAGGTGGGAGGGCTAGGTGTGCCCCAGGTATCCCTCTCGACTTCCTTTAGAGGCTTAACCGTGCCATTAGGAGAGGCAGACAACAAGACGCAGAACTCCCCGCCCCACCGTTTAACTCGAGAACGAGAGGCTCCAGAATGGGCCTTCAAGAAAAAATTGTACAGCGCTTAGTGGGCTTCGAACTCAGTACATCATGATCAGAGGGAACTCTAAGCTGAGTCAGTGTGAGCCAGCTCACAGTTTTTTAGCCTCTGGCTCACTCATTTTTGTCTCCGCTCAGGAAGGATGGCTCCAGAGCAAAGTATGGTGGGAGGGCCAGGTGTGCCTCAGGTACCCCTCTTGACTTCCTTTAGAAGCTTAACCGTACCATTAGGAGAGGCGGACAACAAGACGCAGAACTCCCCACCCCACTGTTTAACTCGAGAACGAGAGGCTCCAGAATGGGCCTTCAAGAAAAAATTGTACAGCGCTTAGTGGGTTTCGAACTCAGTACATCATGGTTATTCCCTCTGTTGCCTCTCATCAAACTTTGCTGGCATGATTTTGAAACGGTACAGTTCTCATGGGCCAGTTTGGTGTAGTGGTTAGGAGCGTGGATCTGGGAGAACCGGGTTTGATTGCCCCACTCCTCCACATGCAGCTGCTGGGGTGACCTTGGGTCAGTCATAAGTTCTCTCAGAGCTGTTCTCTCAAGGGCAGTTCTCCAGAGAGCTCTCTCAGCCCCGCCCACCTCACAGGGTGTCTGTTGTGGGGAGGGGAAGGGAAAGGAGATTGTGAGCCACTCTGGGACTCCTTTGGGTAGTGAAGGGCGGGGTATAAAGCCAATCCCCTTCCCCTGCCTGGTTCTCCAGGACCTTTCCCTCCTACTTTGTTTTCTGTCCTTCTAGGTGTTCAGTGAGGATCTCTCCAAGAACGTCATGGACGAAATTGTCTTGGACTTGATACAGATTTACACGCTGGACACAGAAATCTCCTAAGGGGAAGGCTGCTGCAGCCCAGTTCCACAAGCCTTCCAGTCACCCCAAGCAGAAGGAAGAGGCACCATGGACTGTCGTGCCCCCCCCCCTGCTGTTTCCTTTTGAGCCTGCTGCTTGAGTGGCACTGAACTGGCACCAGCACCCAGACAGTGGCACAAACCACCAGATCCTGCCTTTGCTCTTGGGCACGGTGCTGTATATCTGTGGGGCTTCCGTTGCACAACCTGACCCTGCGCATCCGATGTCTTGAATTCTAGATTTTAAAATGGAAGTGTGCACCAACCTCTTCTCATGCTTCACTCAGGCACGGCACTCCTGTCTTAGATGGTGCTCCATGCATGGGCGGATGTCAGAGCAGCCACGAGTCCTCTTAAGTTTGGGCCCCTTTCCGATCTCTCGCAGGGTCCTCTGTGGAGGGGGAAGACCGTCAGAGTTGCTGCGTTCCAGTGGGATGCAGGGAGGTGGTGGGTATCAAATCAGGATTTGTCAGTTACTCAGTGCCATTGTGAACGTAGGCAGATCATGAGAGGGAGGGCAGGAAGGGCTGCATCAGGGCTTCGTTCTTGCGGCCCTTTCTTACACGCCCAGGGAAATGCTGGTTGCCCCTTTGGGGTCAGGAAGCCATTTTTCTCCAGGCTAGTTTGGCCGGGGGTCCTGGAGGTTTTTTTATCATCTTTTAGGTGTGAAACAGGGGTCACTGGGGGCGTGGAGGGGGAGGTATTCATGAATTTCTGCATTGTTCAGGGGGTTGGACTAGATGACCCGGGAGGTCCCTTCCAACTCTATGATTCTGTCATTCCTGTCCATATACAGTGGCTGAATTGCCAGCCTTGTGGATCCCAGACCCCTTCCATTCGGCCTCCCAGGGCTCCCGCCAGCGTCCAGGGAGGGATCAGCCCTTCTAAAAGCGCATTTCTTCAGATATAGCTAGAATGCGAGTCCATCTGTTTTTATATCTTGGAGAGTGGAGTAATTTCAGATGGCAAATAACATTAGCAGGCAGATAACAATAGCAGGTGAATGACAGTAGCGGGCATGATTGGATTAGGTGTGATATGCAGAAGGGGGTAGTAGGCATGGAAAGATCAGCATTGGTAACGAGACAGGAAACCTAGGTCTCCATTCAGTCCAGGAGGATGCATTGTCTTGAGCTTCATTATCAGTTGCAATTCAGCAGTCTCTCTTTCAAATCTTCCTCTGAAATTCCTTGGTAAGAGAACTGGTACGATGTTGTCGAAGGCTTTCATGGCCAGAGTTCATTAGTTGTAGATTTTCTGAGCTGTATAGCCGGGGTCTTGGCCAGTGTTCCCTCTAAGCTGAGTTAGTGTGAGCTAGCTCACAGTTTTTTAGCCTCCAGCTCACATATTTTTGTCTCCGCTCAGGAAGGAGGGCTCCAGAGCAAACTAACTGATGCAGTAGCCAAATTGCTCGCTCACAGCTTCAATGCCAGTAGCTCACAAAGTAGAATTTTTGCTCACAAGACTCCACAGCTTAGAGGGAACATTGGTCTTGGCATTGTAGGACCTGACATTTCGCCAGCAACTGTGACTGGCATCCTTGGAGGTATACCTCACCACTCTCTTCCAAGGAGCACTTCTCAGTCCAGTCGCCACCCGATGTCACTGCAGCCTGATGCCCCCTGGACGTGCCCAGCTGCCAGCCTGGCCCGAACCCAGTTCTCTACGGCCACCAGAGGCTCTGACAACTTCCCTCTGCCGCCCGAGACAGACTGCCCCTCGCTGCCTCCTCTCCCAGGTCTCAGGCAGCTGCGGTTGTGCCCCAGTGAATGGGGGGGGGGGCATGCCTAGGGTCAGAAACGTTTCTCCAGCAATTAAAGGGGGGGGGGACATTAAGTCCCTGGCCTAGCCCAGTCTTGTCGGGCTAAGCGTCCTGTTTCCAAGGCCCACAGCACATACGTGACTTGTGTGAATCACAGTGCCCCAGGTGGCTTCTGTAGGGTTGCCAACTTCTAGGTAGTAGAAGCCAAAAATGAGAGATCATGGGAAGAAGTGGAAATCCAGCAACATCCATGACAAAAATAACGGAGAGTCAATAAAGATATGTTGCAAAATCATTTACTGTTGTAATTCTGTAGAAAATTGTATTATCGCTCACACGCTAACGAATGCTGCGCGATGTAAACAATTCGTTTCAGAATATTTCCTTTATCTGAGCGTGCGAGTATGGCCTGTAGCGATCACTCTTGGAAGGAAACATTCCATGTTGACTCTCTAATAAGAGAACCCAAGGTCTTCACAATGTCAAGGCCTTGGGTTCTGTTATTAGAGAGTCAACCCGGGATTTCCTTCAAGATAAGTAGTAACTGATAAGAATTGTGATTGCTACACGCTCAGATAAAGCAAATACTGTGAAACGAATTGTTTACATCGCGCAGCATTCGTTAGCGTGTGAGCGATAATACAATTTTCTACAGAATTACAACAGTAAATGATTTTGCAACATATCTTTATTGACTCTCCGTTATTTTTGTCATGGATGTTGCTGGATTTCCACTTCTTCCCATGATCTCTCATTTTTGGCTTCTACTACCTAGAAGTTGGCAACCCTACAGAAGCCACCTGGGGCACTGTGATTCACACAAGTCACGTATGTGCTGTGGGCCTTGGAAACAGGACGCTTAGCCCGACAAGACTGCCCCCCCCAAAAAAAATCTCCAGGTATTTTCCAACCTGGAGCTGGTAGCCCCAGGCCTCTGGCATCCCAAGCCCAGCGTCTGGGCCTGGCTAACAATCCGTAGCCGTTCTGATTAAAGCTGCCGGCTCTGTGTAATACCGGCAGGGGCGGGCAGGAGACATCGCCTTTTATAAGATCATATACCATGTTCGTAACGTGTCGGTGTAATGTCCTGTGCAGTGAAAACTCTAGGTTAGGGATTTCCAGGAAAGGGATTGAAAATAAAAGAGCCAATAACGTCATGCCCCCATGCAGATCTACGGTGCGGCGTTCATTTGGAGCACCGTGTACAGTTCTGGTCACCGTCTCTCAAAAAAGGCGTCGCAGAGCTGGAAAAAATACAGAGGAAGGCAACCGAGAGGGGGAAGGGGCCTGGAGCGCCTCCCCTGTGAGGAAAGGCCGGAGAGCTAAAGAGTTCTGACGTTTAGAAAAGAGACGTCTCAGGGAGGTCATGGCCAGTGTTCCCTCTAAGCTGAGTTTGTGTGAGCTAGCGCACAGTTTTTTTAGCCTCCGGCTCACACATTTTTGTCTTAGCTCAGGAAGGACGGCTCCAGAGCAAACTAATTGATGGAGCAGCCAAATCGCTGGCTCACGACTTTAATGCCGGCAGCTCACGAAGTAGAATTCTTGCTCAGAAGACTCCACAACTTAGAGGGAGCACTGGCATGACAGAGGGTTATAAAACTATGCATGGGGTTGGCAAAGAGACATTTTTCTCCCTCTCCCAGAATACTAGAACTTAAGGGGATCCGATGAAGCTGATGGGCAGTAGGTGCAGGACGGACAAAAGGAAAGGCTACTTTCCGCGGGGAGTGATTAAAAGGTGGGATTTGCTGCCAGAGGATGCAGTTATGGCCACAGAAATAAACAGGTCTAAAAGGGGATTAGATAGATTCATGAGGATAAGTCTATCAATGGCTACTAGCCATGGGGACTGACGGGAACCTCCACAT